CCGACAAGTAGGGCTACGCCCAGAATTCGTTTTGAGGCCCATGCAGGTTCTGTATTGACACTGCTGCTGTGATGAATAGACCAACACCTCATGCGCTTTCCCACAAACAATATCTAAACCTGGAAGCCAAAGCAATTAGAGTATGTTCAATCCCAGCCTCCCCCACCCTGCTGTCCACTCAGAGAGCACCACATCAGACCAGCCAAGTGTAACGCCTCACACAGCTACAACACTTCTTGGAAAAAGGATGATGTAGTGCACGTCATGCAGCAAAACACTCTTTAGGTGCTTTGATTTATTGACTGGAGCATATGCCAGAAGGCTACAGCCCCAGCTACAATAGCCCTTGTTCACAGGGTGGAGAGAGGGTAAAGAGCATCGGACAGTCACATCCTCAGTCAGAAGATAAGAGGGAAGGGCGGCTTCCTTCCCTGGGATAAGCCACCACAAATCTACCCTCTCACCAGTGACCACTCCCCAGGTCTAGCACATGCATTTCCAGTTGTGGTTCAGATTTTTCTTCACACCCTGTTCCAGACTGTTGGACACTGTGACTGTAAACTGTTAAGTGGCTGTGTTTCAGTGGTGGGTGAAGGCAACCCCCATGGACTCTGCGGAACATTTTGAGACTCCTTCGGGGGAAAAAATGCTACAGAAACGTTAAGAAACCATTCAGTCCAGCAGATTTCACGATGCTGCAAGACAAGGGATCGGAACAACTAGCAGAGCTAAAGGAACTGACCGACATCGGTGGACTTGTGAGTGGCGGGAAGCTGCATGTCAAGGGATCTGGGAGAGGAGGAGGCAGAGATAAGAAAAGGACAATATGATTTTTTACTCTCCCTTCACAGGAGTGTTGAGAGCAAGACATGAGAAGTTGTTCTTCTGCTCTACTCTGCCCTGATTAGGCCTCAACTGGAGTATAGTCTCCAATTGGGGGCACCCCATTTCAGGAAAGAGATGGAGAATTGGAAGACTAGAGAAGAACAATGAAAATGATTAAAGATCTAGAAAACATGGCCTAAGAGCAAAGGGGAAAAAATTGTTTAGTTTGCAAAAGAGAAGATGGAGAAGAGACATGGTCGTATTCGAGTACATAAAAGGGTGTCACAAGGAGGAGGGAGGAAATTTTTTTCTCCTTGGCCTCTGAGGACAGGACAAGAAGAAACGGGCTTAAATTAAAGCAAGGGAGGTTGAGGTAGGACTTTAATAAAAACTTCCCAACTATCAGGGTGGTGAAACACTGGAATAAATTGCCGAGGGGGGTTGTGGAATCTCCATCCCTGGAGATATTTAAGAGCAGGTTGGACAGACACCTGTCAGGGATGGTCTAGATCATGCTTGGTCCTACCGTGAGGGCAGGGGACTGAACTTGGTGACCTCTTGATGTCCCTCCTGGTGCTAGTGTTCTATGATTCTATGACACATCCCAATAAGCACTTCTCTCCCCTCACCTTCTGCTTTCCTTCTTCCCCTCCTCGCTCCCCAATTTGGAAATGTACCTTACGCTGCATGGCCCTCCCTTGGAAAGGCATGTATATTCTGCACCGTCTGCCGTAAGAAGTCCCGCTCTTCGCCTTCTGACCTAGCAGAGTGCTTACTATCAAACCATTTAAAATTAAAAAAGCAACAGACTCTTTTAAAATAACTGTTCAAAAATAAAGAAATAGGAAAAGACCCATTGTAGGCATGATGGTGACACTCTGTAATATGGTAACACTTGTGTTAAACCAAAAGATCTGAACGCTGTATTTCTGTCTCTTTAAATGAGGGAACAGTTGTAACAACTGTTTTGAGTCTCATATTTACATGGCAAGGATATGTAAACTAGGGATGTAAAATCCGGTTTAATCAGTTAACTGGATAAACTTTGTGTGTAACCGGTTAACCGCTTAAAAGGCTCCCGCCCACGGTGTGGCAGACTGCTCCAGCCCGCAGGCCGCTGGTTTACCAGTAACCATCACCCAGTAAGGGTCATGCTTTCCAGTTGACTGCTGACATCTCTAATGTAAACTCATTAAAACCTTCCTAAATATAAAAAAAGACAAACCATTGATATTTAATTAAATCAAAGGACTCTGCTTTTTGAAGAATGGCTTGAGAACAGCTACATACATTGGCATTAGATCGCTTCTCTGCTCCTCCTTCAATATGTTTCCTCTTCCCCTCACAGGGTTACCTGATGGTTTCAA